GCATCACTGCTTCAAGATAACTTGGTGAACACCCTGAGTTATTCAAGTGAACATCATCATGCTGCTGTCAGCATCACTGCTTCAAGATAACTTGGTGAACACCCTGAGTTATTCAAGTGAACATCATCATCATGCTGCTGTCAGCATCACTGCTTCAAGATAACTTGGTGAACACCCTGAGTTATTCAAGTGAACATCATCATGCTGCTGTCAGCATCACTGCTTCAAGATAACTTGGTGAACACCCTGAGTTATTCAAGTGAACATCATCATGCTCCTGTCAGCATCACTGCTTCAAGATAACTTGGTGAACACCCTGAGTTATTCAAGTGAACATCATCATCATGCTGCTGTCAGCATCACTGCTTCAAGATAACTTGGTGAACACCCTGAGTTATTCAAGTGAACATCATCATCATGCTGCTGTCAGTATCACTGCTTCAAGATAACTTGGTGAACACCCTGAGTTATTCAAGTGAACATCATCATCATGCTGCTGTCAGTATCACTGCTTCAAGATAACTTGGTGAACACCCTGAGTTATTCAAGTGAACATCATCATGCTGCTGTCAGCATCACTGCTTCAAGATAACTTGGTGAACACCCTGAGTTATTCAAGTGAACATCATCATCATGCTGCTGTCAGTATCACTGCTTCAAGATAACTTGGTGAACATCCTGAGTTATTCAAGTGAACATCATGCTGCTGTCAGCATCACTGCCTCAAAATAACTTGGTGAACATCCTGAGTTATTCAAGTGAACATCATCATCATGCTCCTGTCAGTATCACTGCCTCAAAATAACTTGGTGAACACCCTGAGTTATTCAAGTGAACATCATCATGCTGCTGTCAGCATCACTGCCTCAAAATAACTTGGTGAACACCCTGAGTTATTCAAGTGAACATCATCATCATGCTGCTGTCAGCATCACTGCCTCAAAATAACTTGGTGAACACCCTGAGTTATTCAAGTGAACATCATCATCATGCTGCTGTCAGCATCACTGACGTTCGCTATTTAGATTACATCATATCTAATAAACTGATAACGTGTTGCCAATATTATAGGAGACACTGCGCTCTGCTCCGAGCCTTGAAGACAGTTTTTGTTATTACAGAAATATACACGGGAAAACACTCACAGGGATTATGTAGCACCTAGTTAATGTTAGGTAATCACATCTGATTCAAGAAGGGTGGCTCCAGTTCCCTGATTCAAGAAGGGTGGCTCCAGTTCCCTGATTCAAGAAGGGTGGCTCCAGTTCCCTGATTCAAGAAGGGTGGCTCCAGTTCCCTGATTCAAGAAGGGTGGCTCCATTTTCCCCTGATTCAAGAAGGGTGGCTCCAGTTCCCTGATTCAAGAAGGGTGGCTCCAGTTCCCCGATTCAAGAAGGGTGGCTCCAGTTACCTGATTCAAGAAGGGTGGCTCCAGTTCCCTGATTCAAGAAGGGTGGTTTCCAGTTCCCTGATTCAAGAAGGGTGGCTCCAGTTACCTGATTCAAAAAGGGGTGGCTCCAGTTCCCTGATTCAAGAAGGGTGGCTCCAGTTCCCTGATTCAAGAAGGGTGGCTCCAGTTCCCTGATTCAAGAAGGGTGGCTCCAGTTCCCTGATTCAAGAAGGGTGGCTCCAGTTCCCTGATCCAAGAGACCTTCACTAGCATCAAACACCTCATACTGAAGGGATACTTTTCGCTACTCAAATATTTATTGCAGGATACCTAAAGATTCACCTCCTAGGATTATAAATCTTCAAAATAAAACTTTTCTCTTACGTTCGGCCACCTCACTGCCAGACGTATCGTGGCCGGTTTTGTTTAAATTGGCTTATTTGTGGTATACCTGGAGGGTGTTTCGGGGATCATTGCCCCCGCGGCCCGGCCTCGTAGTGGATCATAGCCTGATTAACCAGGTTGTTACTGCTGACTGCTCGTAAACCGACGTACGAGCCACAGCCTGGCTGGTCAGGCGCCTTTTTGAAGACAGTAAGGGGTAAATATATTTTATATATATATATATATATATATATAGGTTTATATAACCTAACTCAACCTTAAGTAACCAAGTATAACTAACATTAGCCTAAGCTAACTGAAGTTAATCTAACCTAACTCAGTCTTACATGACTCAGACAATATGAATTAAACCAAAAACGTTTAAAAAGTGACGTTGACTACTACGTCAATAATGTTAAGTGATAAAATAAGTATTGAGTGAATTATTACGTACGTTAATTAAGCTGTTGTATATTAGGTACATTCTAAGAAAGTTTAAAGTTTTTAAGGGGGTTATTTGATGCTGGTGAGGGACTCTTGATCCAAGGAATGGGAGCTACCTTTCTCTTAGATTAAATCTGATTAATTTCTATTCCTCAGGCGGTGCTTGATCTTGATGGGTTTAGCGCATCCCCATGAATAAAATATAAAGATGGTGGGTTCTGTGTCAAATTAAACATATTTGTCGTAAACCCAGAGGGTCATACAGTGCCTGGGGCCTGGGAGGTGGTCAGGTCACCTCCATACCAGGGTCATACAGTGCCTGGGGCCTGGGAGGTGGTCAGGTCACCTCCATACCAGGGTCATACAGTGCCTGGGGCCTGGGAGGTGGTCAGGTCACCTCCATACATAGGGTCATATAGTGCCTGGGGACTGGGAGGTGGTCAGGTCACCTCCATACCAGGGTCATACAGTGCCTGGGGCCTGGGAGGTGGTCAGGTCACCTCCATACATAGGGTCATACAGTGCCTGGGGACTGGGAGGTGGTCAGGTCACCTCCATACACAGGGTCATACAGTACCTGGGGACTGGGAGATGGCCAGGTTACTTCCATACACAGGGTCATACAGTACCTGGGGACTGGGAGGTGGTCAGGTCACCTTCATACACAGGATCATACAGTGCCTGGGAACTGGGAGGTGGTCAGGTCACCTCCATACACAGGGTCATACAGTACCTGGGGACTGGGATGTGGTCAGGTCACCTCCATACACAGGGTCATACAGTACCTGGGGACTGGGAGGTGGCCAGGTTACTTCCATACACAGGGTCATATAGTGCCTGGGGACTGGGAGGTGGTCAGGTCACCTCCATACAGTGTAATACAGTGCCTGGGAACTGGGAGGTGGTCAGGTCACCTCCATACACAGGGTCATACAGTACCTGGGGACTGGGAGGTGGTCAGGTCACCTCCATACACAGGATCATACAGTGCCTGGGGACTGGGAGGTGGTCAGGTCACCTCCATCACGGTCATACAGGCCTGGGGAAATGGGAGGGGCGGGACCCCCTACACAGTCATACGTACCCTG